GTTCACAAGGTATATATGCATCTAAAACATTTTTAAACACTTCTTCAGGGCTTCCCTGGTGGCGCAGTGGTTGGGAGTCCACCTGCCGATGCAGGGGACACAGGTTCGTGCCCCGGTCCAGGAAGATCCCACATACCACGGAGCGGCTGGGCCCGTGAGCCATGGCCGCTGAGCCTGTGCGTCCGGAGCCTGTGCTCCGCAACGGGAGAGGCCACAACAGTGGGAGGCCCGCGTACTGCAAAAAAAACAAAAAAAACAAAACAAAAAAACCCCACTTCTTCAAAAACTATTTGAATGCATTTACATAAAACAGAAAATTCCATAAGCATAATAATAATTAGGAACTTTTCAGAGCCAAAAATGCATCGTAACTATGAACATGTACAGCCTGTGAGATAACCAACATTTTTAAAACCTGTTTTTAAAGGCCTTTTTCACTAGCTATGCTCATACCTAACTTTTGCTATCACACTGTTAGTTCATACTACCTAGTACAGATAGTATCAACTCTTCTGCAAAAAAAAAAAAAAAAAAAACCTCAAATTTTGAACTTTCCAAAATCTTAATTTCCATTTTTAAAATGTGATACATTTTTAAAATTTTTATTTGTTTGTTTTTAGTTTTGGCTGTATTGGGTCTTTGTTGCTGTGCGAGGGCTTTCTCTAGTTCCGGAGAGCGGGGGCCACTCCTTGTTGCAGTGCATGGGCTTCTATTGCGGTAGCTTCTCTTGTTGTGGAGCACGGGCTCTAGGCACACGGGCTCAGTAGTTGTGGCTCACGGGCTCTAGAGCGCAGGCTCAGTAGTTGTGGCGCAAGGGCCCAGTTGCTCTGCGGCATGTGGGATCTCCCCGGACCAGGGCTCGAACCCATGTCCCCTGCACTGGCAGAAGGATTCTTAACCACTGTGCCACTAGGGAAGCCCCTAAAATGTGATACATTTTTAATGCTACAAAATCAGTTTCTATATAAATTATCTCATATATGTTGATTTTGGAACTGAAACAAAAAAGTAATACCTAATCTTAGAGCAAATGCTTATGCATACAAGTCACAAAGTTGTAGCTTTGAAAAAAAAAATTTGATGCTCAAATATCAACATTCTCCCAGCTGACTAAGTCATTTTTTTCTTCTTGAGTACATTTAATGTAAATTAATCTTTCCATTTCCTCAGTTCTTAAGATTAATTTCTGTTGTAAAGGTTTTAATAAAGTTCAGTTAGAGTATACTCAATAAAACTAGCTTCTGAACATACACATCTAGCCACAAATCTATTTTAGTCAACTGATGATTAAGTCATAAATCACTCAGGCAAATTATAATTACTTTCTGTTGTACATATTTCTCAAAAACAGGAACATATACGTTTTTCACAATCCTGAATATATTCCTAAGAGGTGTGTGTGTGTCTGTGTGTGTGTGTGTGTGTGTGTGTGTGTTTAGGTTATTGACCAAAAAAGAAAAGACTAGAAGTTCTGTTCAATGAATAATACTACTAAACTAAAATCATTTAGCATAGTCTTTTTTTTTTTTTTTTGCAATACGCGGGCCTCTCACTGTTGTGGCCTCTCCCGTTGTGGAGCACAAGCTCCGGATGCGCAGGCTCAGCGGCCATGGCTCACGGGCCTAGACGCTCCGCTGCATGTGGGATCCTCCCAGACCGGGGCACGAACCCATGTCCCCTGCAACGGCAGGCAGACTCTCAACCACTGCGCCACCAGCGAAGCCCTAGCAGAGTTTTTAACTACTAAGACTATGATGTCCATTTATTTCATATCATTAAATTCAGTACAAGAAAAAAACCCGATTATTACTCTGGATTTTACTACTGTTCTCTGTCTTACTGCCCTACACTACTTAAGTGAATGGACAGATCAATTACATGGCTATAAAATAACATATGCTTTAAAGATCACATACAAAATGTCTTACTACCTCACCCTATGCAAATATTGAGTTTTTCATTTGTATAAACTTAAAGCTATGGTGTTCATTTTGGTTAGAGACAACAGAACATGGAATGCTGATTTTTCTGTTATATTAAGTACACGGAATATGGCATTCGTAAGAAGTCACCTCCCTCCGCCCCCTGATATTTCTCTGTGGCAGTGTTTCTTAAAGGGGTGGTGGAAACTCAACTGCCTGCATCAAACTACCCAGCACCTTGCTAGAAATGTAGATTCCTCAGCCCTACAGCCACTGATGCAAAGCCTCCAAGGGAGGGACTCTGGGGTCCTAGGATCACTCTTATAAAAGCTGTGATCTGAAACCCATTTTTCTAGTCTTTATCCTAAAAAGTAAAACCCACAAAGTGTTAAGTGGATTTAAGAACAACTGCATTTAAAAATATAGGGGTAAGACACTATCCTAAATCAAATGTATTTTTATTTTTCTATTGGAGTATAGTTGATTTACAGTGTTGTGTTAGTTTCAGGTGTACAGCAAAGTAATGCAGTTATACATACACATATATCCACTTTTTTAGATTCTTTTCCCATATAGGCATTACAGGGTATTGGGTCTTCGTTGCTGCACCCAGGTTTTCTCTAGTTGCATTGAGTGGGGGCTACTCTTTGTTGCAGTGCGTGGGCTTCTCACTGCGGTGGCTTCTTTTGTTGCAGAGCACAGGCTCCAGGCGTGCGGCTTCAGTAGTTGTGGAGCACGAGTTTAGCTGCTCTGCGGCATGTGGGATCCTCCCGGACCAGGGCTCGAACCCATGTCCCCTGCACTGGCAGGCAGATTCTTTAACCACTGCACCACCAGGGAAGCCCTCAAGGTCTATTTGATTCAAGCCTGACTTGCCTACTCAAAGGAACGTTTTGGGGAGATTTTCAAAAGAAAATGTCGTCACAGCAGACAAGTGCAAAGGACTTTCAAATACTCTCTTTTAAAAATCAAACTACCATTTAAGCACTTTATTTTCTACACAAAAGACGGCTTAGAATTTGTTGAAATAAAAGATCCTGAAGACAAACTAAATCTAGGGGCTTCTCTGGCGGCGCAGTGGTTGAGAATCTGCCTGCTAATGCAGGGGACACGGGTTCGAGCCCTGGTCTGGGAGGATCCCACATGCCGCGGAGCAACTAGGCCCGTGAGCCACAACTACTGAGCCTGCGCGTCTGGAGCCTGTGCTCCGCATCAGGAGAGGCCGTGATAGTGAGAGGTCCGCGCACCGCGATGAAGACTGGCCCCCGCTCACCACAACTAGAGAAAGTCCTCGCACAGAAACGAAGACTCAATACAGCAAAAATTAATTAATTAATTAATTAATTCCTACCCCCAACATCTTAAAAAGAAAAAAAAAGATAAACTAAGTCTAAAGTTTAGGCATGCACTGAGTATATTAATATAGTCCCTGAATAGTTCGACGTATTTCATTTTTATTAAAGTTGATCAGAATTCCTACTTCAAGATATTCCACCACTTAAGGGGAAAAAAAAGTATTACAGCTGCTGGTAGGGAGTACAAGTTGAATTAATGCAAATTTTAGGAAAAGGATTGAAAATATTTTTTATAAGACAGGCATCTAATAAAATAAATATGTGAGATTCTTATACTATGTTACCAAGAGGAAAAAGTCCCTGAAAATTTCTTCCGTATAAAAATTCAAGATGAAAACAATCAAAGCCACATAGGCGCAGAATGAATATCAGCGTTTTTGAGAATCAGTAACCTAATCCTGCAAAGCAAATATTAAAATGTAACACAATAAGAGAAATAGCACCTTTTTAAAAATCAAGTTATCTAAAATGTAAGTTTGCAAAACTATTCTGCACTACAAATCTCCACATGAAATCATTTGAAAAGGAGGTAGTAACACAAAACAAGCAATTCTGAAAAGTGTAAAGTTACATGCTGATTGTAAATGCAAAGAATACAGAGCAATTAAAGCCAAAATGACACCTACATATCTATAGCAGGCCAAAAGTTCCTTTTCTTTTAAAGTCACACATTTAATAGTGTCTCTAAAACAGGCCAGGAAAGCAGCATACCTTAATATAAGGGGGAAATTTTTTAAGGACATTTTAAAGAATTAAAACAGTTTTAGAACTAAAGCATTATTAGATTATCTTCAGTGTATCTTTCTATTCAACCCGTGGACAGAAGCTTTACCATAAGATTTTTGCTATTCAATAGAATTCAGAATAAAATGAGTCTATTTCAGATCATACCCTAAAATGTTTTTTTACCTAAGTACCACAAAGGGATTGTCACAAGATGATTTTTTATTAGATGATTCCACGGTATAGGGCAGCCTTTTTCAGCCAGAGTTCTGAATGTAACAGACACCGTGTTACCATCAGATTCAATGTTATTATGTTTTTTTACAAGTGAGGCCAAGTATATACATACATTGTTTCTGATCCCTTAAAATCCTTACAATTGAAAAGCTTGACCTTGAGTAGTTAATTCAAATAAAAATAAACTTGCTTAGGAGTATAATTTCAGTGGCCTAAACATATTTCCAAAGAATATTTTCCAACTGTGACACCTACTTGAATATTTTGGGCTTTTTATATGACTACTTTATCTAGATCAAAAGATTTACCATAGCAAACTATGTCTATGTTTCCAAAAACTGTTATTAATCAAAAATGCTACCTTATAACTTGAGAGAAATAGACCTTGGGTTCAAGAAATGCTAATACATTATTAACAGCTATTATAATTCTGTATTTAGCTTCATTTATAAATATCACAATCACCGGCAGGCATCATAATGTTAAATCATTAAACTAATTTCTAAATATTGATTTCAAAAGCTTTGAACATATGTTGCAAAAAAAATTTAGCAAAACTTATTTTTAGTTTAAAAACTAACAAAAGTTTTTTTTTGCAGGTAATACACCCAATTATTTTTTTTATGATCATCACCTACCCAGGAGCTGAAAATAAATACTTGCATAGTTCTTGGAGAAAACGGACCTGGCACAATCTGAAGACAAATATTGGCAAATACCACGTGTCCCAAGTTATAGTTTAAGAAATTACACAATCCGCAACATTTCATGAAGCTGTTTATTCTTATTATTAAAACTTGGACTCAAGTAATCCTGGTTATTCTGGAAAAGGCACCTTGTAGGGATCATTTAATCATCCTTTTCGACAATCACCTCTCCGTGAAGCACCTTTCTTCTCTGACGTAACATATGAAAGTAGAGTTGTGGAAACACTTAATTGAAAAAAGAAAACAGAGAAGGTAAGCTATGGTTGGAAATTTTTTATACTTGAAACCTCTTAAACATGGCGGCCTTTGAAAGCAAGCACATCATATACAGTTGCTACTACCCCCGTAATATTTACAGGGCTCAGGGTAAGCGTACAAATGGAGGGCCACATACCACATGCCTAAATATTTTAATGCCATCAACTGTCAGTCTTTTCAGCAAACTTAAATATTTTGATAAATATATCCTCATAATGACCTGGAAGGCCATGTTTGAATTTAGAATTCTATAACTCTTCGGAACACCATGCCAGAACAGTGCTGCACAAGGAAAGCTGCCCCACCTGGCCCCTTCTCTACATTCCATCGGCTGTCCTGTACCATGAGGGGTCTCGTGAACATCGGTGTGGATGTCCAAGGCCACACAGCCCAGCTGCATCCACCCCCCTCACAAACAGCTGCCCCCTGATCTCAGGGATGTGTACACAGGTAACGGTGCTATAACCCACAGGAGAACAGACTGGGGAAGAGAGCTATGCAGTCTAGATGCGTGCTCAGTGCCATCTGGGTTGCAAATTCCATGGTCCCGGGTTTCCAGGATGTGATCTGAAGGAAGGGGGTCCTGTGTGGAGTGGTGACCAGCAGTGAGCCAGGACATGGCCCTCTATCTAAAACTGGGCCCAGAGCAAAAGCCCCTCTTGGCTGGGCATAAGGGTAGTCTGGTACACACACACACAAATATATATGTATTAGGTCAGTTAGACAAATGGTTATCCACCCTGTCAAATTTGGAGAATTATTTTGAGCCAATTTGAACCAGTACTCTAAATTACAGGGTAAATGTTGGTGCATGAACAAATTAACATCAGCTACAAACAATACAAGTATACAAATATCTCTGAAAACGATGAGCAGAATAGCCAAAACTAATGAACCTAATGACAAAACAAGCTTTGAATACTTTGCTTAGGCAACTGTGGGTAACTACTTTTTGAACTTAGCTCAAATGGAGCCAAAATGCATAAAAGATTTTATTTTTTTATTTAGGTATCCAACCTTCATTAATGTAACCATCATACTATACCTAAGGGCCTAAATATATTCAGGCCATATAGACTTAAAGCTAACTGACCGATTTTTGCAAATACTTCTATAATATCTTGAGTAGTTTAGTAGAATTATGGGCTTGAGTTCAAATCTTGATCTTATTTACTAGCTGAGAGATTTTTAAAGCAATTCACTTAACCTCTCTAATCTCTAATGGCCCCATTGATAAATGAGAACTAAAAGGAATTCTTTTGAGCACTAAGTGCTCAAAATGTACTTTTATACTTGTAATTAGCAAAGGATTTAATAAGCAAAGTATAATTAGTTGCTATTACTACTAATACTAGGTGGAAAACACCCCCCTTGGCTGGCTGATCCTCCAGCAGGTGGGGCTCTCAGGTAACTGACAGCCTCCTAAACGGAGAAGCAGCTACTGGCAAAGGCTGGTCTTCACAGGACACCTGAAAATGCACAGTCACAAGTTACTGGTTTGATGGTTTCAAACCATGATGTCTTGGGCCGTGGGTTTCCGCAGAGATGCCTCAGTGGCTGTGAGGAAAAAGGCAACCCAAGATCTGAACCTGTAACTATGATAGGACAGGTCTGGCTCTGCTCCAGACCTCCAACATTCACTAGATGTTGCGCAAAGCAGGGGAAGAAACAAGTGTCATAGGCACACCGCCCCGCCGCGCCCTCCGGAACTGGCCCTGGTGGATAATCAGAGGAGAGTCAGGCTGAGATGGGAGAAGATGAGGGGATTAAAATCACTATATGACCATCAAGGCAATTTTGATTTTGGAAAAGCTTAAAAGTTGGAGGTCCCACGGAAGTGGCCAAATTTTACGTTCATCCTCTTTATATGAAGTATTTCATATTGCGTCAATGTCGATTTTAGATTCTATAAACGTTTCTCATTTCTCTTCCCCCCCCCCCCGCCCCCCGCACTGAGCCCAGAGTCTCTAACTTTATTGACCAGGGCAAACAACAGCTTTGCCTTATCTTCATATTTCCTGCTAGTGATTATCCAAATCTGACCTAAAAACATACCACTTTGTATTTAAATGAAATGAATAGAGTCTCACCAATGCATCGCAACTACTGAAAGGTGAGGAGAAATTAGTGGAAAGACTGAGTTATTCAAAATATTTTAAGAAAAGCAGCTTTTTTATTATTTTCTAGTACACAGGGCAACATACATAAGACTAACAAGTACTCCTGGATGATCTTTCCAAGTATGTGCTTAATGAATAGAAATGACCTCAGATTTTCTTGGATAAAATGTTCATGTTCAGATACATAATTCTAAATGCTTTCAATGAGTTCACTGCAGGCTTTATCTTTTCTTTAAAAACATAAATCATACTAAGCTTATTTTTAAGTGATTTTGAGAAGGCAATCATTTGCGTGTTCATTTACTTACCTTTTTTTCTGACAACTCACCCTTCAGTTATTTCAAATCATGAATACATGTGTCACTGAACGGAGGTTTTGACGTATTTTTAAGACATTAGCTTTCCTTGTTTATTAATCTGGCATCTTATGACATCTTCTGAAAAACTTTCACAGCATATGCTAAATCAAAGTATAATACTAATAGAGACATACTTACATGGTATATACGAGGCCATGGTTATAAGAAGAAAATAATAGTAGTCAAAAGAGACATTGTATTTATTGGGAAGTCTTATTGAGAACATTCCTGTTTTCCTCACATATGGTAAGGCAGTGTATATTGTAAGAAGTTCACCAGCAACTCCAACAGGATATAAGATGATAAAAAAATTGTATCTGGAGAAAGAAAAACCTGACAGTTATTTTCTAGAATAATTATTGAATTTTATATCATGGTTCTTTTGCTACTACTTTATTTAAGCTTAAAAATCCTCCTTTCTATACATACTTATATTAACCTCACGTAACAAGGTTAATTTTTTTTCACTTTAATCATTTGCTTATTAATTTAATTATCATCGTTTTTTTTTTCTTATAGTAGTTTCCATTTTAAGTGGCAAGATCTTAATAAAGTAAGAAGTCAACTTACTTTACAGGACTGAAATAACAATACATTTTAGAGTCAGTGACTGACTGATGCAGTTTTTTAAGTATGATAAAGTATACAAGTATTATAACGATTACAGTGTATTGTAAAGTAAATGTGAGCATTGTAAGGCATTGTAAAAGTAACTGCTTTGACACCTGGAATCATACTGATTTTTTTTTCCCTGCAGCTAGTCATTTGTTGATCAAATGCTGTGTTTTTAAAAAAGACCAGTTATGATCCTAATTTTATATCTAAATCTTGAAATTGCCAAAGTCGTCGTTTGGAGACATTTGGAAAACGCTTTGTGGTCACTAATTAAAAGAATGACTATTTCAGAAAACTGATAAAACCACCTGAAGCATCAGTAACTACTAAGGAACATACTGCCTAAAATTGTTTTCATGACAAAACAAGAAAGACAGGTCGTTTCCCGAATTTGCACATTAAAGGAATAGTCAGCTTGCTTAAAAGAGAGCTGAGAGAGTTCTAGTCAAAATCCAAGTCACACTTTGTTCATTTGGATTGCAGAGCATCCTCCAACACAGAGTGGGCCCAGCATCACTTCCGCCTACAGTTAGAGGAACACTGCAAAAGTGTCCACTGGTGGACCCGCAGGACAGCCTCAAGCACCCAAGGTAATGACATTTCTTAAGAGTCTCCTTATTCCTATGTACCAAGGATATGCAAGGACAAGAGGGGACAGAGGGGGGCAGAATTATTTGCCAAAATAGATGAACTGGTAAAGAAAGAAAATGATCCTTCTACTGTCCCTCTGTGTCCTCTCCTTGCCTTGTGCATGCCACCTGCTTCCTCACCAGCCTTGTGTAGTTATGTGTGTATTATTTAAATCAATCTTTTCCAACCTCGATTTCCTACCTCAATTTAAAAGTACATAACTGAGCATTTTATATTCCCTTCTTAAGTAAGACATTCAAACCTCTTAAATTTCTTTTTAAACTTTATGCGACTCTCAGATGATTCTTTTGGGGGTAAGATTGTTCTTTATTTTATTTTTATTTATTTTTTTATTTAATTTTTATTTTTTGCAGTGCGCGGGCCTCTCACTGTTGTGGCCCCTCCTGCTGCGGAGCACAGGCTCCGGACGCGCAGGCTCAGCGGCCATGGCTCACGGGCCCAGCCGCTCCGCGGCATGTGGGATCCTCCCGGACCAGGGCACGAACCCGCGTCCCCTATATCGGCAGGCGGACTGCCAACCACTGCGCCACCAGGGAAGCCCAAGATTGTTCTTTAACTAAAAAAAAAAAAATCACACTAAGTATAAACTAGGTTAAAGCCTTAAAGACGTGATTATTTTTAATGAAATGGGAAAAAATTACACAATTTATTTGACTTTACTTGCACTTTAAAAAGGCTCAATGTCACCAACTCTCTAAGTTCTGATGGCAGCATGACAGATTTAACTACTTATTCAGAAAGAGACATGATGTTTCCTTACAGATTCCCAATTGTCATCAAAAATTTTTTGAAGGGACTGCATTTTTGAAATTAAAATGGAAATCAATATGAAAACATAACATTATGCATTTATCTATTCAGTGGGTTTTTCTAGGAACATGTCTGACAGATAAATAGAATCAAAGTATATTCAAACCATCACAGCAGGGCAACTCTATAAAGAAGAAGCCATTTTTAAGCTTTACTTGAGAATAGTTTCAAAACTGGAACATAAATATAAATGTTATTTTAGGTTATTTAATGGGGTTGGCAAATATATAGCTGATTGGGATCTTTAAGATTTTTGACATGAAACATAATTATTCACGATTATGCTTAACTGGCGTGATGTGTTATGTTAACATGTGCATTTCAAAGTTGAAAGATTTTATAGTAACCTGTTTAACATTAAGGCAACTGACAAAGGAGTTCTAACAGCAAATTTAAACATGCAATGGTAGAGTTTGGAACTTTTCCAGAAATTCAAGACATGCAAATGTATTCTAAAAGGCGGGCAAAGCATTAGAGACCATTATCTCCCGCAAACAAATTTTATAAATACAGCAAATAAAAAGAGACTATATTATGAATTAGTATTTTCAAAGGTGCTAGAAGTCTGAAAGACTGAGGTCATTCAAAATGGCACGAGATGCATTCTGGGATTAGAATCCAGCTACATTCCGAACTGCCAATCTTGCCAAACGCTTATAAATGGTAGTGCAACCTTCTTATGACAGACGAAATGTTTAAGCTCAAACTATAATTTTGAAGTATTTTGTCATATTCAAAATGATAAGCCACAAATATCTAAAAAAGAGCTAGAGAATATAAAAACGTTTGAAAGGGTATATAGTATAATTAAGAGTGATAATCCTTTGTAGGGGGAATATAGACAATTTAAAAGGTTTTTATTCTTTTAGGTTATTTATATATACTAATTTATTATATTTGAACATGTATAATATGAGTTATTTAAAAAGGAGTAATTAATAAAAAGTGTTAGCCTTTTTGTATAAGGGGAGCAAAAACAAGTCTGACACTAGTTATGAATTACCTTTATAAGCTAGCTATGGATTAATACACATATCAGAGTTTTAAAAAATAACGGAAATATGGATATTACATTGTTTTTAATATCACAAAGCAGTATTTATAGCATCAGAAAACTGGGACTAATCTAAATTCTAGCAATATAGAACTGAGTCAGTCATACTATGGAATATTATGCAGCATTAAGAGTTAGAGAGCTAGATCTAAATGGACCTGTACTGATTTAAAAAAAGATCTCCAATATATAAACAAAAATCAAGTATGTCATCCTATTTATGTTTTTTCTTTTTAAAGAAGATGTTGGGGGTAGGAATTTATTAATTAATTAATTTATTTTTGCTTTGTTGGGTCTTCGTTTCTGTGCGAGGACTTTCTCTAGTTGTGGCAAGCGGGGGCCACTCTTCATCGCGGTGCGTGGGCCTCTCACTATCACGGCCTCTCTTGTTGCGGAGCACAGGCTCCAGACGCGCAAGCCCAGTAGCTGTGGCTCACAGGCCTAGTTGCTCCGCGGCATGTGGGATCCTCCCAGACCAGGGCTCGAACCCGTGTCCCCTGCATTAGCAGGCAGATTCTCAACCACTGCACCACCAGGGAAGCCCCTATTTATGTTTTTAAAAACTCACATCTGTGTGTTCACATTGCTGTTATTAAGAAAAAGTCTGATGGTAAACTCCCAACTTTCTCTCTCCAAGGAAAGCGAGTGGGGCTCACGTAGGAGTACAAACAGGAACTTTCCATGTTTATTCTATATACTAAAACTATTTGAGATTTTTTCACAATGAAAGCATATTACTTTTGCAGCTTAATAAAAATTTTAACGAATGAAAATACTGTCAAATTCTTGTATTCTACCTATGTGGGATACCCATCTATCTATCTATCTATCTACGTATCTTATCTATCTTATCTACCATATCTATCTAATTTACCTATCTACATAGACATATATGTGATAGACGTTTCTTAACCCAACTGCCCCCCTGCATTTCTTACCACCTGGCATTTCTCACACCTGTTAGTTGTTGTATTTTCTGTCCCCTCCATCTTGAGAGGACAGAGATTTTGTTGCACTCACACCTGCACCTCAGGTATGCAGTAGGTACACAGCATATGTTACTGTTATTATTGTTATTTCAACTCTAAGTGCAACATGGAGAATGAAATGAACAAATCTATGCTGGTTTGTGATTTGTTCTCCAAAGGGCACAAATAATAAGTTGTTTTTATAATAACTTTGTAAAACATCAGTTGCTCAAAGAACACATACTTTAAAAAGGACGGAACATCTTCTGCTTTAAAAACTGTTGCTTTGGGAGGGCTACGTTTAGAACCCTTGAAATATAAATTTTGTCCTCATAACAAATAATACAATTTCAAATAAGGGTGACTTTTTTGTTTGTTTGTTTGTTGTTGTTCTGGCCGTGCCATGCGGCATGTAGGATCCGTTCCTCGAGCTCCCTGACTGGGGATTGAACCCGTGCCCCCTGCAATGGAAGCAAGGAGTCTTAACCACTGGACCGCCAGGGAAGTCTCTAAGGGTGACTTTTTAAAATGTCTGTCTCTGCTACTTTATACACACACAAAAAAATTGACATTGTATAAGATACTAAAAAGATACTAAAGATACTAAAACTTGTGGATACTAGGTGGAATATTAAAGTAATTTAAATCAGTAACTGATTGATGTAAGGGCCACTTTTAGCAATTACAAGAACAGTATGTATTTAATTCAATGAAAGTCTGTCGTGTTAAAATAATTTCTATGCACTGGAAGTTTCAAATAATTTCTTTAACATGCATTTTGTTACTAAAGCTTGCCTATTTTAAAAGTTTATTTTTAGTGTTTTAGCTTATTTTACTAACTTTGTTTTGTAGAATAAAAACTTTGTGAGTTGTCAAAAAATAAAAAATTTAAGTCAATCAAACAAAATGCCATATTTTTGGCCAAGAGTTGATTTAATGTAATTCCAAAGATGTATATTTTGCTTTCAAGGAAAAATGAATGACCAATTCAGAGGCTAAGGACACTAATGTAGTTTGTCTGGCATTGCTTTCACTCAAGATATATGTTAATATGACTGTTGCCTGGTCATTAAATTAAGCCTTTAGAATGCAAGTTATAACACTGCTAATTTCAAAAACAGCAGCCTCCTGGCAACACAGGGCTAAGACATTTTAATTCTGTGTTAGCTCAGCACACAAAACACGCATGCGCAGGACCGAGAGCAACTAAACTGTAAGACATCGTCGCCACCTGGCCCATTTAACGAAGTATGGCAAGTGGTCGAGAAGACTGAATGTGTAGAAGGAATAGCGAGTGATCTCTGTCACCGTCCACGCGACCAGAAAAAGCACCACACTCTCCTCATTCTGGATCTGCAGAATTACAGAGAAAGCCACAGCGTTGTTTAACCTTGAACTTCTTTCTCCACGAAGATATTTTCTGTTTATTATTTAGTACGTTCCTTTTATTATAACGGAGAGCTAGGGTTAGACAGATGCAATACAGAAAACGCAATGCCGTCACCCTTAATAAGTCTTTACAAACACGCGATTTAAATGTGCTCTAAGCACAGGAATGGTCAAAGTTCTATTGGGTTCTCTGTCTCACCCTTCACTCCAGCCAATAACTCAACCATCCCAGGACAACATCAGCCCCTCAAAACCAGTATGGGAACAATCTGACCCTCGGACTTTCTATTGGTCGTCAAATCATACCCATCCTACTGCAGCACTAACTCCCGAATCTGCCCACTCACTGCAGCCCTGCTACCACGGTGTCAATTTAGGACCTGATCACCTCTCATGCAGATTGCTGTCACAGCCCCCTATGTAGTGTCCACTTCAGAGGTGGACGTTTTCTCTTAAAAGCAAAACACAGAAGCAAATCAACAGAAACAAAATTGGAAGGTGCTAGTCCCGGGATTTAAAAGCTTCATGGCTTCCCCACTGCTTAACTGGAGGAAAGGGTAAAACCCTCCCACCTGAGCATGATGTTCAAGGATCTTTACAGCTGGAGCTCAGAAATCTCGACTTCTTGTGCAATGACTCAACCCCACCCCCAGCTCTCTCTGGGGACACAAAACTTTGTATTATTTCCAGAATATGCTCTGAATGTGTCTTAACACGCGCCATTCCCTCTAATTATCAATAGAATGCTCCTCCCTTTTCATTTTTTATAAATTTATTTATTTATTTTTGGGTGCGTTGGGTCTTTGTTGGGGTGCACGGGCTTCTCATCGCGGTGGCCTCTCTTGCTGCAGAGCACGGGCTCTAGGTGCGTGGGCTTCAGTAGTTGTGGTCCACAGGCTCCAGAGCACAGGCTCAGTAGTTGTGGCCCACGGGCTCAGTAGTTGTGGCCTGCGGGCTCCAGAGTGCAGGCTCAGTAATTGTGGCCCGTGGGCTCCAGAGTGCAGGCTCAGTAGTTGTGGTGCATGGGCTTAGTTGCTCCGCGGCATGTGGGATCTTCCCAGACCAGGGCTCGAACCCGTGTCCCCTGCATTGGCAGGTGGATTCTTAACCACTGCGCCACCAGGGAAGTCCCTGAACGCTCCTCCCTTTATCAATACTTTCCATGGAAAACCCTTTCTCACCTTTAAGATCCAGCTAACCACCACGGCCTCTGGAAAACTTGTCCCAAACCCCTCCTCTCACCCTGAGCAGTTACGTGCTCCCCTTCCTTGTTCTCACAGTACTGTGTTCATATCTGTGTTATAACACTTGCCAATTTCTATCAGGATTTGTCTGCCAAACTCTTGTATATCTACAGCACTCAGCTGATACACTCCTTCCTCGGGGAAGCCTTCCTTCACTCCCTAAGTCAGGCCAAGTCTGCCGGTTACTGCAATCCACACTGGCCTCTTGTTTCAAAGCACTAACACTAGTAAAATCAAACAATTATTTCTGCAACAACTTGTGTACCATCTCTCCCAATTCCAGGCTCCATGAGGCGGGAACCATATGTGTATTATAAATAGCCAGATTCCCGGCACAGTGTCAGGAACAGAATAGGCACGTAATTCATACTTGTTGAATGATTCAACATCTGTAGGGCTGCCCCCTACTCCCCGATGGTCAATACCCCTGACAGCTGAGACTGACTTATTCATTTCTGTAAATCCCAAAGTAAGCACAGTGCCAGGGATATAGAATGCACTCAATACATGCTAGTTGAATTAATTAAATATGGGTGGAAAGATGCCCATGGGATACCACTGTTGGAGAAGATTAAATAGTAAAATCAAGGAAGAGATTTTCTGTAGGATAAAAAAGAGGCAGAAGGGATAAATTGGAAGACTGGGACGGACACATACATACCACTATATATAAAATACATAACTAATAAGGATCTACTGTACAGCACAGGGAACTCTACCCAATACTCTGTAATGGCCTATATGGGAAAAGAACCTGAAAAAAAAAAAGAGTGGGTAGGGACTTCCCTGCTGGTGCAGTGATTAAGAATCGCCTGCCAACGCAGGGGACACGGGTTGCAGCCCTGGTCCGGGAAGATTCCACATGCCACGAAGCAACTAAGCCCATGCGCCACAACTACTGAGCCTGCACTCTACAGCCTGCGAGCCACAACTATTGAGCCCATGCGCCACAACTACTGAAGCCTGCGCTTCTAGAGCCTGTGCTCCGTAACAAGAGAAGCCAATGAACGCAATGAGAAGCCCGTGCACCGCAACAAAGAGTAGCCCCCACTCGCTGCAACTAGAGAAAGCCCGCGCGCAGCAACGAAGACCCAACGCAGCCTAAAAGAAAAATTTTTTTAAAAATTGGAAAACCCCAATTTATATGGCTATAAAAATGCTAATTTTTGGTTTTGCTGGTGTTTCAAAGCCATTCTACGAACGCACTAAGTCAATGTACAATCACACTTACATCCAAACCCAACCCTTTGGCCAAGGGTTCTACTTCCTGAAATACAGTTAATATTTTGGATTCCTATTAATAAGAAAGCTTTCCTGCAGGCTCAAGTAGACGACATGTTGTGTCACTTACTGGTTTTATACTGTGAGTAACGAGCCACACCATAAAGATTCTTGAACTCACTTGGACCCCAGCCACAAGCACAGAAGTAGGCACAATTCCTTAAAGAAAAAAACAAGTCAACCACTGCCCGAAATGCAATCTATGCCAAACATAAAAATTAAATCAAAAACTCACCAATTAAACAGTGGACTATCTGTAAGCAAACACACAAAAAAAATCACATGTCAATAACATACAACATAAAATAAATTCCTGTCATCGTTGGTTTTAAATGCATCTGTAGGGAGTAAATAATCAGTAAAATAAGACTAATTTTGCTCAACTGATATATTTTCAAATAAATATGGCAGTGATAGATAAACAGTGTCGTTGAAAACTTACCTCAAGCAAGGCAAATGTCTGGAAAAATTTAAGTGTCTTCTGAATACTTTTATATAAACCTTTGTGTGTTCCTTTTTCCATATAAAAACGTACCATGGCAATAGCGAGTACCAGCCACCTAGAGAAAGTAAAAGCACTTTATAAAATTCTATCACAACGAATTCCACTGCATCCTGTAAAGAAATGCCATAATTTATACAGTAATAACATGTATGAGTTATTGTCCTCTCAGTTCATTATTCTATTTTAAAAACCCTTAAGAAGAAATGACAAACATCGTTTTTACATTGACTCTTCAAGGGAATAAAGAGAACATATTCAAGATCAACTACATACAAATGTCAAGCAATGTGCATTGTATTTTTGGTCTCAGCAGATAAACTGACGGACTGAAGGAATAGGTTTCTGTACCAAAAATGAAGTTATTATAAAGCATTTAATAATTATATAAAAATTAGAGGTAAAAAGCTGTGTGTGTATAAATATGTATTTTATACAAATATATAGTATATTTGTTTATGCAATTATAGGTAAAAATCTTGAATAAGAATCATTAATTAACATTTTTATCATTTTCTCTAAATAAAAACAATTGTGGTGCCACAGAAGGGACACATATAGAAGGTCAGACATAAGCCTGCTTTTAAACAGTGTGCTTTAAAACTAGTGGTTACCAAGGGGGAGAGAGCAGGGGGGAGGAGCAATACAGGAGTAGGGGGTTAAGAGATACAAACTAGTATGTATAAAATCAATAAGCAACTAGGATATATTGTACAGCACAGGGAAATATAGCCATTGTTTCCTAATAACTTCAAACAGAGTATATTCTATAAAAATACTGAATCTCTATGTTGCACACCTGAATCAACTATACTTCAATTGAAAAAAAAGTTTGTTTTCGAAAAAGAAAAAATACATATGTCCCCTCCCCCCTTTTAACTTACACTTGTACATTAAATATAGTTGCTGTGAATTAACGGCACTTAAAAACACAAGCTACACCTGTGGAGACCAGCTTTGTCACCCGGGTACTCAATCTCCAAGAGTCACTGATGAGAGGTAATGTATTTTTCCAGTTTCCTTTGCAATTACAAAAGCACTTTGAAGTTTAAAAAAGTTGCGTCACCTGTAACTTTTAAAGATCCTTAATAATACACCCATGGAAATGAATAGCTACCCCAGGCTTTTGAAAATAAGTGGTCTCCAAAGTGTCTAGTTAAATGGATTTATGAACTATAAAATTTATAATAATTTTATACAGTTTTAACTTTTTAATTAAAGAGTACTCAATAAAATAGACAAATGGCTTAAAGGTGCCTGCAAAGAAACGAGCGACTGAGTGGGGTGAAAATGCAGACTCAATCAAACAACAAGAAAATGGCAGAGAGGCACTTCAGCCCCGGGAATCTCTTCTCCTCAGCACACAATGAGGTTAAAAACAATGACCTTTAGTGAGATAGGACAAGAAATCAGGCAAGTGCCGGAAACTACCACAAAGACCTTTGAAATGTACAAGTATTAAGGATAATAACAACAATGATAATGCTAAGTACATTTCCAGAGTGCTTCCAATGTTCCAGACACTGTCTTATATGCATATTTAATATATTAATATTTCATCCTCACAATAACCCCATGAGGTAGCGACTACTACTATCCTATTTCACTGCTGTGGAAACAGGCAGAAAGGGCCCTATAGCCAGTCAGCTGGGAACTCAACTCACCGCTCATCTCACAGTCTACGCTCTTGAACTACTCTGCTGTACTGGTCTGGCTCTAAGCATATACTGTGCCTTGGGATATTAGCTAATCATAATAATTCATGTATTTAAATTATAAGTAATTTTTAAAGTTATACAGAATGTTATGCTCAAATATTTTAACTGATAGTAGTACGCTATCAAGAAAGTTTGAAAGCCACTGTTTTATACGAAACAATCACCATGCAGAGATATCTTGCGACTTACCCTAAGGCTCAGAGTAAGTAAGTTAATGGTGGAGGTTTCCTAACCCTCACTGCTCTTCCCTTTCTACTGTGCCATGGCTTTTACTGGATTCACCTCACGGTTCCATCCCGCATTAGAGCCAACACTCAACCCTGTGCTGGGCTAATCTGAGTGTGCTAATCTGGATAATGTTTTAGGTACCTTCCAGGTTTAAAATGTTCTGATTTCATTATCCTCAATTCCAAGTCCTTACACTGCTTCTAACAAGAAAACAAAAAGCTTAATGTTTTCATTCACATTTTCCCATATACTTGTCTTTTCTTTTAGACAAATCCAAATCAGATTTTTACCAAAGACCGATTTAAGAGGTAACTGTTAACCTACCAAAGAATTCATCAAAAGATTAATTTAGATGGCAAGTTTTCTACATTTTTAAAGGCATGATATAAAAATCCATGCATTTTAACAGCATAACAAATTTTACTGTTGTCCCATAGGTGGCAGTATTGTACCAACTAGTACAGTATAACAATACTATCCCCACTCACCTGTTGGAAATAAAAGAAATTAACACTGGGGATAGAAAGGACCATGGAACTATCTATACTAACCTCTCATCTGTTTTTTGGTAAATATGGCCAGGAACTCATCTGAACTAACCCGTGCTCACTTCCTAAGCCCCCCCCCCCCCACCCAATCACAAAGGGTGAGAATCAAAGTCTCTCTTGAGGGCCCTACATTCAGCTAACATTGGGCTTCCTATATCCGTCAGTTTAGTAACTGTAATTTTAAAAATTTCCCAAAGCAACAGGAGTGTCTACAATTAGGAATTCTTTTTTGGACAGTTTTTTTTTTTTAAATATACCAGAGCTAATGATTGCCTAAATATGAACCCAAATAGACACTTTCAGTCCTTGACAAAACACTCTCTTTGGAAAATATAAACATGTGTTCCGCATGTAGAAGGTTTCTCACTTGCTTAATTCATTTATTCATTCATTCATCTTCAGGATCAATACAGGACAGGTACTGTGCTAGGTGCTGGGGAATTAGGGATAATTCCTTGGCCTCAAGGAAATCTTAAGTTACTAAGTGGAGAGAGAACACTGCAGCAACGAAAGAGATGTGGCATAACTTCCTAAACACCTTCTAACACTCACTAAATGCCTTCTTCTCGTGCCACTCTGGCTACAATTACCCTGAAAAATCTTACTGAAGGTGGAGCTCTTTCTTCTAGCTGTCTTCTGGGGCTTCTTTTTCTCCTCAGGTTTCTTGGAGACCATCTGCTTTTTGAAGAACTTGTTTTTCTACGCCTATACTCCTTTATTTCCTTAATTTCAACACCGCTTTAAAAATTTTTTTACAGCTTCAAACATATACAAAGGTATACAGAATGAGTGGTACGATGAACCCCCATTTGCCCACTGCCCTGCTTCAACCAGTATCATCTTATTAACAATCTTGTTTCATCCAAACCTCTATTCACTTCTTTCCCCACAAGCCTTCCTCCCTGATGATTGTGAATCAAATCTCATACATCCTATAATATGATTCATAAATGCTTAATTATGTATCTCTAAAAGGTTTATTTTTCATAAACATAAGTAAAACACCAACTATCCCATGTGAAGAATTGAACAATAACTTCTAAACTTAGAGTCAAGATACAAATGTCCTTAACTGTCTTATAATTTCTTAAAATCGTGATTGAAATAAGATTCATACATTGCAATTAGTCGCTGTGTGTTTTATGACTCTTTTAAATCTATAGATTTCACCTCCTCCCATCCATCCTCATCTCTCCTCCCCTCTTTCTCCTGAAATTTATCTGTTGAAGACCCTGAGTGGCTCCTACAGAGTTACCCGCGGTCTGGGTTTTGCTAACTGGATACCCCCATGTCATTTATTATGTTCTTCTGGCCTCCGTATTTCCTGTGAGTGCGTAGTTAGCTCTAAAGGATCGATCAGACAGATTCACGTTCCAGGTTAATTTCTCCGTTGTGCTGCGTGCTTCCCCAGCGAGCCCAACATTTCTGGCTGTCCCCTCTTCGTTGTGATGTTAGCACCGATGGTCATTATCCAGATCCATTATTTCGGTGCCAACAGAGTTAAGCTGAAAGGTTCATAAAAGAAAAAAAACAGATAAACTGGACTTTGGTAAGATTAGGACCTTCTGCTCTTTGAGAGACATTGTGAAGAGAATGAAAAAGCAAGCCATACCTGATAGAAAATATTTACAAATCACATATCTGATAAAGGACTTGTATCCAGACTATATAAAGAACTTTCAAAATTCAATAGCTGAAAATCAAACAACAAACCCATAAGAAGTGGGCAAAAGATTTAAACAGACCCTATACCAAAAAAAGGTACACAACTGGTAAGTAAACCCATGAAAAGATGCTCAGGGTCATTAGTCACTAGGGAAATGCAAATTAAAATCACAGTAACACAATACACCACTTAGAAGGTATAAAATTATCACGACTGACCACACCAAGTGCCGATGAGGATGTGTGGCAACCGGAAAGCTCATTCACTGCCCGTGGGGATGTACTGTACAACCACTCTGAAAAAACAGTTTGGCAGTTTCATAAGAAATCAGCAATGTCACTACCCTATGACCCAGCCATTCTACTCATAGGTATTTACCCAAGGACAATGAAAGCATGTGTCCACACAAGACTTGCATACAGATGCTCACCGAGTCATCTGTCATAGCCCCAAACTGCAAAGAACCCAAATGTCCATCCACAGATGAAGGATAAACAAGTTGTGGTAGGTTCATACATGGATCCACCTACCTCGGGAATAAAATATATGTCTATTACTCAACACTTCAAGAAATGTACATGCCTGAACCTTGGGTTTGGTGCTCTGCTAATGCAGACTATGTACACTGTGAGGATATCTTAAATAGTTTCTTTCTGCATGACGTGCATTTTTAAATTCACCACTAGGGGTAGGAATTATCCTTTCTAAACACCCACTGTGTGTCCAGCACCCTGCCGACCACTTCATATCCACTATTTCTTAATTCCTTGTAATAACCTAGCAAAGTAGTTGTTTTGCTCCCTTGACAGATGAGAAAACCCAGGGTCAGAGAGGTTATGGGACTTACCTGAGGTCGCCCAGCTAAAAAGGAGTGAAAACATAACCTTCAATGAACACCTTCCTGTACTGTTTACAGGTTAAAATCCAAACATGTTAGCGAGGCATGTAAGGCCTGTGCAGTGAGCCAGGCTCCCCATCCACCTTCCTTTCCCAGCCTACATTGCAGGCCCGCTTGCTGTTACCCCAACCGCATGTCAGCACGAGTTGTTCCCCAACTCCTGCTCCTTCCTCATCCCCACCGCTCAGTTGGAATGCGATGGTCCCCCTCCCCTGCCCAAAGCTTTCTCTGATCCTCCCTACCTGTCTGACTTGACACCTCTGCAGTGTTCATCCCGTCTTTTATTGCAATCTACAAATGCCCCAGGTAGCACTTCTACAAGGACAGGGCCTAAAATATTTAGCTTCTGTCTCTCGCTTGACCTAGGATAATGCACTAACACATGTGGGCTTCAAAAGTGTTTGTAGCAAAGCAAAAGAATTAAAAAAGAGAGAGAGACAGAGAGAGAGAAACGCTCACTTTCCTCGTCAAGCATCTGTTGTGAGCAAGTACAATAAAAATCCTCACATCCTTTAAATTACATTATTACTTAATTAAATTAATTACATCCTGTAGTTCTACTCCAGGAATTCATCCTAAACAACTAATTCAAGAGAAGCAAATTAAAGCAAAACATCATTAGAGGCATGATTTAGTCCATTACTGTACCTTAATTCTATTCCCTCTTATGTAACCATGAAAGAGTGTAATTATGAAAACTACATAGAAATATTTGGTGAAACAGTGAGTGAAAACAGAATATCCTACACAGCAGATACTGTAACTACAATACCCTATAATGTGCATTCATTCACTCAACAAATATTTCTTGAGCGCTTCACGGAGCTGACACCGTTACAGGATGACGCAGACAATAAGCAACAGAAGGAATCAGTAGAATTCATTGTACAGCTATGCAGTAATAAGTACGATAGAGAAAAATTAAGCAGGCAAGGGGGATAAGGAGTGTTTGTGAGGTTTTTGCTATTTGAATGAAGATAGCTACGAAGGCCTCCCTGAGAATGGAGATTTGAGTAAAAATCTGAAGGAAGTAACTCACATGAGCGATAACAAGGAAAAATGAAAGGCCATGCTAAGTTTATAGAATTAGGCAAGTTCTTTTCTACATTTATGTAAAATTTTATTTCTTAAATAGTATTTTGATTGTTTTCAAAACGATTACAAAAAAATTAATAAACCCTCCAAAGTTCTGCTAAAAGAGAAAAACAGAACAAGCAAATGAACAAAAAGAAACTTTGCATTAGCAGATGTAAACTAGTATATGGAGGATGGATAAACAACAGGGCCCCTCTGCCCCAACCCTCCAATTAAATCGGGAGGCTTTCTTGCATCTCATGCCTATTTCCAGAATTAATCTCACTTGGAATATCTACCCTCTACATATGCAAATCCTATCCCTTCTTCAAATCTCAACACCTTTAGAAAGCCTCCAAAGAGTTAATTAAATGGATTATTCCATTTCCGTTCCCCTTGCCTTTTTTTTTTTACATCTTTATTGGAGTATAATTGCTTTACAATGGTGTGTTAGTTTCTGCTTTATAACAAAGTGAATCAGTTATACATATACATATGTTCCCGTATCTCTTCCCTCTTTGCGTCTCCTTCCCTCCCACCCTCCCTATCCCACCCCTTGGCAAGGGATCTTCTCAACATAGGCAGGGAGACAAACAAGTTTCGGGGAAGCAGTAATTTGCTGAGCCAGGGAGGAAGGTTAGGAATGAAGTGTGAGAACACAGCTGAAAGAACATTTAATTCTACTTCAGGTCGGATAAGAGACCCAGAAAACTTCAGAGGTGGCTTGGCTAGAAGTCACAGCAGAAACACGGGGATTATTACCCAAAGAATGTGCAGCCTGAGCAAAGATGGAGAGAGCCATGAAAATAAAACTGCATGGTGTTTGAGGGCATAGTGAGTTACAGGAGATGTCAAAAGCAATAAAACTGGAAAGAGGAAATCAGGGAGATATTGCAAAGGGCCTTGAACGACAGACAGCCTAAATCCCTTCCACAACAGCGGAGGCAATGGGTGGGGGGGTCACTGAAGGCTTTAAACTGGAGTTATGCATTGACTTTCACTTTTTGAAAAGGTAACTCGGCCTTCAAAAGGGAGAGTGGCCTGGAAAGGAAAGGCACAAGACCAGTTAATAAATGGTAGGCGTCCTCGAAGTGTTTATTAACTGGATGAGACTAGCACAGAGAAGAGAGGATATTTTCAGCCTCCAGGGTATCTAAAGGCTGCAGCACACAGTGGGTACTCCATTGTTCTCCAGTAGCTTTGACTCTGTTAGTTTTCCCTTTCAACATTATAAAATTTAGTAAAGTGGAAAGAAGTAACACGGCTCTGGATTCAGACTGTGCCAAAATCCAAGTCTGACACTTGTTGGTTTGGGGAACTTGAGCAAGTTACTTCACCTATTTGTGCCTCGGTTTTCTAGTCTATCAAATGTAATATCATGCACCCCTCACAGAACTGCAGAGGACCAGAAATGACATACTACACCTAGAGTGACCGACACAGTGCCTAGCGCACAGTGAATCCTCAATAGATACCAATATTTTCATTAACTGTATTTGGTATTAAACACATAATAAGTACTCAGTACTGTGTCAAATCATTTATTAAATCCTTATCAATCACATTTTTCTATAAGCCCTAGAGAAAGTTAAAGGTATTGAACGTTTCCCCAGATTTTTGTAGATTAATAATACTTCATGTGATAAGGGGAAAATAACTTTTTTAAACGGCAACGCCATTGAGAAACGCAAGATCTTTTTCCCAGCCGGTTTTGAAAAGCGGTCGACACAAGTCACTGTGACAGCTCTTTGCAGAGAGACAGTCATTGTGTAACCTTAACTTGTAAGTCGTACTCAAAGCCACAAATAAAAGTACAGGGTATCAGTCATGGAGCCAACAAGATGCTGGACACGAGTGCTATGCTCCGATCCAGCAGGGTTTTTAGAAAACCGTCCCAAGTAAGAAGCTCTCGGGAGCACTATTACTTAAAAAACAAAACAACAACAGCAAAAAACTCCGTAGCGACACGAACAGTTAGGAACACTCTGCCCAACCATCGGCGGCACGAGGACACGCACTCCAGGGGCCGGCGGCCGAGGCCGCGGGTCTGGGCCCCCGGCCAGACGGCTCCGGGCTCCGGGGTGGCGGGACCCCGGCGTTTCTCCAGCTGCAGTAGCAGCGGCGCCCGCGGCGGCCGGGCCGGAGCCGCCTCCCCGGAGGGGCGGCCCCGCCTTCCTGCCCGGGGCTATAC